TTCTCATCATCGTCAATTTTTAATTCATTTGATTATTGCTCGTTGTCGTAGTAGTGTTTTATTCGCATAAAAAAAAAAGAAAACGAAGAGATCTATATATATATATATATTTATATATATACATATATCAAACTATTGTATATGAGTATTGGTTTGATATTTCGACACACAATACATACATATAAGCTTTATAGACAACATCAAATTGTTGTACATACATTTCGTGCATATACATATATATAAGCTTGCTATAACTCCTTTCTATCCATCAAACATTGACGCGACATCAACTGGCCTTTTTTACACATACACACGCGAATAACACAGCAAGATATGTATACATTAGACTGTGTACTATGACGCTGTCATCGTCACAACTTCTCGTTTTACTTCTTTCTATATCAACATCGTACACTGTAACTACTATGGTTTGCATTGGCGCATGGTGGTAATAGTTAGACGATTGTGTCATTTGTCAAATAGAAGATACGCAATATAAAAAGAAACGACTTTTTCCTCTTTATATTAATCAATTATAGAAAAAAATTTAAAATTTCACTTTTAATGCCTGTTTGGAAAATAAATTGTTTAAAAAGTGATGATGATACAAATCCATCAACATTATCATCAACAACAATAGATGAAACAAATAAAATTGAATCAATATCATCATCTATTGATCATCAAAATACAGGTAAATTTTCATTTCTTTTTTTGGATATTTTAAAAATTGATTACGAATTATTTAATATCATCCAAGGTTGTATTTTATCAATTTTCTAAGTGTCAATTCTTTTTTGTTTTTATTGTTGACAGATGATATTTGCTAAAACATTTACGTTTAAATAAGAAGAAAAACAGAAAAAGTGACATTATTCTATTATACGTATATCTATCATAAGAATTATCGTGCTAGAAATATGTATAGAAAGCTTAATCGATCATTGTTCTAATTTCAATCTTATCGAATAAACTGTTGATTAACGCTATCATCATTATGTCCTTTTTTTTCACTATGTCATTCTTATCAATTTATATTCATGAAAGTTATAAGTGACTGTCATTTATTCCCAAAGGAAAAATTTATTGATTGAATAATTAATTGTAAAATAATTTATTTATATTATTTCTATTTTATAAGATATACCAATAGCAGTACCGGCTGTTGATATTCATACTCTACCTTCAAGTCCATCATCTATAACTCGTCGCGAACAAAAACAACGATGTTATCAACATTCACCTATTTGTAAGTTTAGTCGGATTACGATTCGTTTTTTTTTTGTTTTTTTGCTATGTTAATCTTTATTGTCATCTAAAAAAAGAATATTGATAATGAGATAAGATCAGTAGTTATGCAGGCAAAAAAAAGGCACCGATAGCTGGGCCGGCAACAGCTGAGATAGATATTCGCTTATTTTGGTTAATATTATTGTTTTTTTTGTTTTTATTTGAAAGAAATAAAAAGAAAAAGAAAGGAAATACATAAGCATATATCACTAGTATGATAATCAACAATGAGATGCATTGGTGAAAGTAGATAAGAGTAATCGAAGGTTATACTTCAATATGTAAATGTGTTTGTAGAGAACAAATTTGTCTAACAATCGATAATGTCTAAAATGATTGATGTTCAATTAGTCTGGTTAGCGGCCCATTGGCACCTTGCTTTTATCACTCCGTTTATGGCATGAGAAAAAAAAGCAAGGATGAAAATGAGACGTATGCTGCTCGCTTCTCTTCTTCTCTATACGTCGTCGTTTTTTTCATGGTTTATGTCGCCTCCATGGCATAGTAGTAGTAGTGAGTGATTTATTTTCACTTATGTACTCTTCCTTTTTTGTCTTACATTCACTACTCGCCTATGAGTGTGCTGTGTTGTTGTTTTTTTTTCTACTACTTCTCCTTCTTTTTCTTCTTACGTATGTTTGTATATGCCATACAGATTCGGTAGGAGATAGACAGAATAAAATGCAAGACGTGCATTCATACAGTTAGGCGTTTTTACATTCTTTACATCTTTTTGCGACTTGATCTCACATCATAATTATGATGTGATTATGATGATGATGATGAAGTCGGCACATGTGTCGGCAGTTGTGTTGTGCTACTAGCAGTGATAACCTTCAACTAGATACGACACGATACGCCGAATGGTGTTAGTGCCCAGGAGCACAATTTCTTATATATATATAGTTATTCATAGTTATAATTTCTATCCTACATGATCTTCATCTGTACAATATGTTTATAAACAATACTTGTTACTTAGATTATCTAATAGAAAAGTAATTAAGCAATGAGTTGGAGCCATCGTTTAGCTACACTTGAGCCATCACCATCATTTGCTACAGTGACACCAATTAATACTCCTACGACAAATAATAATACTTCTCGTTCATCTCCATTGGAACTACGTTTGGCTAAATATCGTTCATTACCACTACTATGGCTACGTACATGTGCCTCTTCAAATCAGCAACATAGACGACGTACAGCTGTTGGTAAAAATACGTTTCCTACTTCTCTTGGTGAGTTTGGTGAGTTTGAGAATTAATGTGATTTATTGTTTACATTTGTTTTTATCTTTTTATCTTCATAAATCTATTTCATATATTAAAAAGCAAAATGTCGAAAAGTTATGCGTAAAATATTTTCTTTTTTAAAAAGCAATGCATACATTTACATGTTTTACTATATGCATATGAAGAACAAAACCATGTATTTGTTTTATTTATTTTTTTTCCAATGTTGAATCATTTATATGTATATATTAGAAGTATTAGAAAAAAAAAGATAACATTTATTTCATAACTATCTTAGATTGAGAACAAGAAGAAAAAAAAAACCAGAAAAGATATACGATTAAATTGAACAGATTAGATAATTTACCAAATGGATATAGTAAACAGATACAATCAAATTCTTTTAAGGTCTTAGAAATGATTAGCATCTTGTACATATAATATTTCATTGACAACATTGTTTATTACTGATATTGTTTACAATAGAAGACAAGTGTCAATAATTATTATCTTTAACATGTCATCTTGGGAAATAGATTGTATCCAACAAGCACATGCAAAAAAAACAGTTTTTATTTCTACAGTTAGGTTTTCTTTTTTTTTCTCTCATTAATAACCTAATGTCCTATTACAAAGTAGTTATTAGAATGATTCATCATAAGTACTTATAGATATGGAAAAAAAAACAACAACACCAATAGCATCTAAATGTGTTCTTTTATACATAACCATGGTTTTTGCCTAGAAACATATAATTCTTCTGTTTCTTGTTGTCTTGTCTGCGGGTGGTTTCAAAACGATTGTATATGTCTTCTTTATGTATAGTTTCAAATAATAACAGAGGAAGAAAAAAAAAAGAGAAATAAACATTTACACTATACTTTCTGTTGCTTTTTTGTAATCAATGGATGACGATAAAATATACTTTTTTTTTCTTTTTGTCTCAGAAACGTTTATCATTATGGTTAGTAACAACAACTTACATTGATGTTGTTGTTCATCTCAATTAGGTACAGAAACAAGATGCAATCGATGTGACTTGATTATTGTTTCGTCGATCAATCACAATTGTCGAAGGACTCTCATATTTGAGAGAAAAGAAGCGCATACAGACATATACATACGTTCACAACTCGGCTTCTTTTTTCTTCACTTCTTACACTTTTTCTTTTTTTTTTTCGGTTTTTTATTCATTCATTCATACCTCAACATATATAGGCGGAGATTGTGTTGACAATGACCTTTACTCCGCCTTCTTGTTCTTCTTCTTTTTTCTTCTTGTTCTTATTCTTACTCTTCTCTCATCGTTGTGCTCAATGAATATTGATATCGATCAATCGATCAGCATCAAACATAAGTAGTAAAAGACATGAACATTTTTTTCTTCATTCATTATCATTATTGTCATATTATATATTAACTACAATTGGTAAATGGTACTCAATTTGAATATGTTATGTGGTTCAGCAAGAAAATCGTCATCGACGAAAAAATTAAAAAAGAAAGTTGACTGGAAACTAAAACATAAAACAGATCATATCCAAAAAAGTGAGTCGATTGGTATTGTTCAAGTATTGACAAGTCAATAAAGACGTTTCGTATATACAATATAAATCTTTAAGTAAATAGAATAAGATAGACAACTGAGAAATAAGAGCTTAGAGTTTTGATTGTAAGGTATATATATCTATGACATTTTACATATCTTTTCTTCTCTCTCTATACTAACGTAATATAATCAATTCAAAGATATTAATTTGAAACCTTTTGCTTTTTTTGATTTATTTTTGAAAAACTTGAAAAATTTCAAGTGTATTTATGATAAAGTAATAATTTATAAGGTTTTAGAAATCATTTTTTGAACAAATTTTCAACAAAAAATATTTATATATAAATCAAAATTGAAAAAAAATAAACTTAAGAAAAATAAAAGATTTTTTTCATATCTATGTGAAAAAGTCAATCTGTTCCGAGCAAAAGGGAAAAAAAAACTTGACAAGGATAATGATAATAATAGACATAGAAAATAGTATAGAAAGAATATAAATAATATTTATATCTATAATATTGTCATGATATTCATTAGTATATTGTTAGAAACCTATCTAAGTAGTAAAAGAAACAAAAAGAAAACATCATAGAATTTTGGTTATATTATTGCTTTTACTTCTTGAATCGTATTATTTCATTACATGATATGATGACTCTATTTTTGTGTGCATTTATGTGTATGCATATGCAATATAGTCAAAAGATCAACGCGTTTTTCTCTTCAATCTTTACTTGCGTGCCGGTGCATATGTGCAAACATATTTTAGTCTATATACGGTTGCTGACGATGATGATGATGGTAATACTTGATGATGAGATATAGTGTAGAACTATAATAGTATTGGCATGGCATAGCATAGCATGCAATACGCTGTGACGGAAAGAGTATATTATCGAACACAGTAGTATACATATATGCAATGACAGAGTTCAGAGGCAAGAAAAAGAGAGAAAGAGAGAAAGAGCAAGAGAAAAATGGGAGGGTAAAAGAAAACACTCGATGCCAATGCAGAAAGACAAGAGAGAGAAGAGTGAAGTGACACTTGTTCTTTTCTTTGTCTTGCAATCGTGAATTGAACCCGCTTACAATCATCTGCTGCATTGCACCTGTATACATATTCCTATCAAAAAAAAAAACAACAGGGATGAGCAATGCAAGTAATAGTTTATCGCGCGATCTTAAACGGGCTATAGCAATGTGTAAATGGACTGCACCTAGTCCATTACTTCCTTCACGTGGTATGCATTAAAAATAATAATAATTTAAAAAAATTTTGTTTTAAGTTTTATTTTTTTACGTAATGTTTGTTTTCATAATATCATCTTCTTATAATTTTTCAGCAATTCGAAGTCGAACAACTGTTGAATTAATTAAAAAAGAAGGTTGTCCACTTGGTTTAACAATATCAGGTGGTATTGATAAAGATAGTAAACCAAGAGTAGCTCAACTTAAATCAGGTTCATTAGCACAAAAATCAGATGTCTTAGAAATTGGTGATGTTATACTTGGTATTAATGGTATTAAAACAGCCGGTCTTAAACATGAACAAGTTATAGATTTAATCAAACAAGTTGGAGATCAATTAACCTTAGATATTGAATATGATTTACCTAAATGGCGTATGTATAATGAAAATATTTCTTTTTTCTTTTCTTTACTCCTTTATATAAAAATTTATTCGAATATAATTATATATTAGCTATACATGCAATTAATACAGTACATACAAAAACGATTCAAATTCAATTGGAAAAGGAAGGACAAAGTTATGGTTTTATTTTACGTGGTGGAGGTTCAGATGACAAGGTTAAGGCAAGACCACTTATTATTACAAAGATACGTCCGCAAGGACCAGCTGATAAGTAAGAACTTAATATATAACAAATAAAATATATTCATTTTATAACAATACATATATATATATAGAGAAGGTACGATTAAAATTGGTGATCGAGTTCTAGCTATAAATGGTATTAATGTTGGTGGAGCTACATTACAAGATGCATATAACCTTATGAGACAATGTCGAGGTACAACATTATTTCTTATTGAATATGATGTAGCTATTGTTGGTAAGATGAAGTTTTTTTTTTCGTTTTCGTTTTTCTTTTTTTGATTGAGTTTTATTGATATCGATCTAAGTAAGATTAAAATCAAATGATTAATTACAATTTTGTTTTTAGACAGCGTTAAACATGCAACTGGTCCATTATTAATTGAAATTGAAAAATCACCTGGTTCAACAATCGGTATAAGTTTAACACAAAAATGGATACGAAATAATCGTTCAATTATTGTTATTGATAGTGTTAAACCAGCAAGTATTGCTGATCGGTAAGATTTTATTTTAAGAAGAAAAATATCTATGTGTTTTTTTTTTGTTTTCTTTTATTCTAATTCATATAAAAATTTAGTTGTGGAGCACTTCATTGTGGTGATCAAATAAATGCAATTGATCAAAAATCATTTGATGGAATATCATTATTTGATGCTAATACAATTCTACGTTCATGTACAGGTGATTTTTGTCGTATTGAAGTTACACCATCAAATATAATTCTTGAACAATCAAATGATATACGAGTTCAACCATCAACAAATCGTTCTTTATTAAATGAAAATAGTCGTCAAACATTTTATCGTACACAACCAAATAATATATTATCAATGAATAATACAAATTGGATAATGAGAAATAATCATCAAAATATAGGAAAAAAACCAATTAATAAAACACGACATAATTCAATCAGTAAGGAGAAAACAAGAATATTTATTTATTATTTATCCTTTTGCAAAAAAAAGAAAAGAAAGAATTAAACTTCGTGTATAAAAAAAGATACGAAAAAAAAAAATATCAAAAATTCCTATCGTCAATCTGTGTAGGTCTTAGATCATTGGGTAACTTATCCTCTTCTACAAACAATACGACTTCTACATTGGTAATGAAGATGTATAATCTTCGTGAGTTAGGTAAATTAATAAAAGAGATTAAATCCAACCAAAAAATTAAAAAAACGAAAAAACTTAAACCATTCAAATTCTTTTTTTCTTTTGCCTTTGTTGTGACCGTTATATTATTATTATTATCATCCATAATAACAATAATAAGCTCATACATTCATGTGTTTGGCTATTTCATCCGCATTGCCATGCAATAAATTTTTTTTGCCTAGCTTCAAATAAGAAAATCTATGTTAGCCATGCATTTGCCTGCTTATAGCCAACCAAGTCCGATTTCTTGTCTACTTTTATTGTTTTGTGTTTTCTGTTCATTCTTATTAATCTTCTAAATGTAGACATGAAAATCAAAAAAAAAAAAGAAAATCATATTAAATCGATTTCGATTTTTATTCTTTTTTTTTTTTTCAATAGGTTCATTGAATTCTTGTTATCAAACTATAATGGGTAATCAAATGTGTCATACAGAAATAATGGAATGCGTGCTTCAACTTGATTCATCATCATCAAATGGAACTATTACAGATGGTAGTGACACAGTAGGCAATTTTGGTTTTACACTTCAAGGTGCTTCTTTTGCATCGGATATATTAATGCAACCGCCTGTTATTGGATATTTAGAACCGGGTGGTGTAGCTGAAAGGTATTGTAGATATTCGAAAGAAAAGAAACACATTGATAGATGAAGAATTCCTTAAAAATATTCTATCATATTTATAACAATGAATAGGAAGCATTAAAATTGAAAATTTTTGCAAACGAACAATATATGAGAATGAAAGATGATACATTGTTTTCTAATCTTTCTTTCTATTAAATATAACAAAATAGTTAAACTTTAAAATTTTGTCAGAGAATTTTAACTTAAATTTTAATTTTAAAATGAAAACTTTATATATTTTTTTTTGTTCGATTTAGATCGGGTGTATTACAACCAGGCGATCGTATTCTTGGTATAAATGGTCAACAATTAGAAGGCATGACATTAGAAGATGCTCGATCAATAATAAAAGATTCAAATAATCGTATTCATCTTGAAATTGAATTTGATGTTGCTGGTAATTAGGTTTTTTGTTTGTTTGCTAATATAATGTTTTCTTTTTGTTTTTGATTAGATTCTGTTATGCTTTCTTCGGGTACATGTCAGGTAAAAATTTTACGAAAAAATCTTGATCTTGGTCTTTCTGTAACTTGTATGTATTGATTTATTTTCTATTTTTCTATTTTATTAATTAATATTATTTAAGATTCACGTTCAGCACGAGCTGATGAAGTTCCAATAATAAATGATGTTAAACGTGGTAGTATAGCTTATCGTTGCGGAATGATTCAATCAGGTGATCGTTTATTATCAATTGATACACATTCATTACGTGGAAAAAGTTTAACTGAAATAGTTGCATTATTAAAAAATTGTGATGATATTGTACGATTAAAAATAAAAAAAGATGATATCTATGCTGAAGATAATCTTTCAGAAAATGTTGTTGTTTATAAAGTACAATTACTTCGACAAGGGTAAAATAAAATTAAAAGAAAAAATAAATAAATAAAATATTTTATTTTATTGTTTTTTTTTTTCTTAGCGGTCCACTTGGTTTAACAATTTCAGGTAGTGAAGATATATTTGAACCAATTGTTGTTTCAGATTTATGTGAAGGTGGTCTAGCAGATAAGTAAGTTCCGAAAAAAAAATGTTTTTATTAAAAAAAACAATTAATTTATTAAAATAGAACAAATGCAATTCATATTGGTGATCGAATATTAGCGATCAATGATATTAGTCTACGTGGTAAAGGTCTTAATGAAGCAATTAAATTATTACAAGCAAGTAGTGATGAAATAACATTAAAAATTTCTCGAATAATCAATCCACAACAAAGTATTTCAACAAAAAAAAATAAAACAACAATGTTCTGTTTTGTTTTTCTTTTATAGAATTAGCTCGTACATTTCATCATCATCATCATCAAGAAGAATACACTCCATCTGTTGATTCTGCTATGGAATCATGGGATAGTTCAAATGCTGAACATCGTTTTAGTGATAATTGTGAAATAGCAAAAGAAATTCTTGTTAATGATCATCAACAACATTCAAATTATCAAGATACATCAACACATCATTTATCACGAAGTAAGTAAAAAAAAAGAAAAAGAAAGAGAAAAAGAAAAATCAACAAAAGATTTTTATATAACCTTGCCTATTTTTTAAAAAAGCAATCGAATCGAAGGTTATAATTTTTATATAGATCAAATAAAGAATTTAATTATATTTGTTCTGTGTTCTTTTCTTTGCGTTTTTTTCTTTTTGATCAAGGTGATTTTGTTCTTAAATCACATCAAACACATTCAATACCAATAACTATACAATCAAATCGTTCAATGGTTATTGCAACACCTTCATCAGGATATCGAACACCACCAACAAATGGTCGTCCACTTGAAACAATACGTCAATCAGATATTGGAAATAATATAAATGGAACTGAACATAAATTTTCATCGATATTAAATGAAAAATCTTTAAGAAATAATTCAAATCATTATGATACTAAATATGATAATTGTACAACATCAACAAATCGACCAAGATATGATACAATTCCATTAATACTTAAACGTGATAAACGTATACTTGATTTTGGTTTTTCAATATCTGATCGACTTTATGGTACAGGAGTTTATGTTAATAAAATACGACCAAATGGACCAGCTGAATTAGAAGGAACATTAATGCCATGTATGAGAATATATAAAGTATGTCTAAATATTTCAATTGTATAAAAATCATTTTCTTTTTTGAAAATATAATTATATTTCATTTTAGGTAAATAATACAGATGTAACACGTATGGAATGTAATCAAGTTGTACCATTATTATCTTCATCACCAGATGAATTAACTCTTGTTGTTGGACGACGACCAGCACCTATGTTTGATGAAACAGATGAATTATTTGATATTGATGAAGATGAACACCAATCACCTGTTGTTAATGATAGTCCAATATGGAATTCATCAATGAATACAGTTATACATGAGAACAACAATAATACTAATGATGATAATACTACGAGTTCGACTATGACTACAAATAATACATTTTCACTTCTTTCTCAATCAAAAACAAGTACTGTATGAAAATAAAAATTAACAGAGAGTTTCAAGCGTGTTCATCTAGTCATCTTAGACATTTATATACACTCATTCATACACATACACGCACATGCATATACCCTATCCTTTCATTTGTACATATTTCCTCTCTTGTGAAAAGGCATTCGGTATAAAGTGTATTCTTTTTCTGTTTGTTTCGTTTTTCTTTTTGTTATTGGCATATGTGCGTATATAGAATTGTATTACATTTGATTTTAACATGTTTTATTTGATACAGACTTAATAAGAAAAAAAAAAGAAAGAAAGAAATTAATCATTATTAAAAATATATGTACAAAAAAAAAAGAATAATATAGATTAAGTACTAACATTTGATCATCATTTTATTATTGAGAAATATCAAAACGATGATAATATAAATAGCATTATGATCGAGGTCATCTATAATGATTTATTTTGTTTTCTATATTTATCTATTAGATTATAATAACAAATAAATGCATACGTACATCAGCATGAACTGACGTATAATAATGCACTAAGACATTTATTATGTAAATAAAATTAATTGAGTTCAAGAGAATTATATTAAGTAATTTATAATAAATTATGTGAGAAGAAAACTGGTTTTTTTTCTTTCTTATCTTGAATTGAAGATATTTATTAAATCTATGTAATAATTATCTAAGCTATACTGCTATCTTAATGACAAAAAGAAACGTTGATTAAAGATAGTTTGATGGATAGCTTGTATTTATGTATAGATAATTCTTTATCTTAATATTAAATGTAAGCCTTGTCTTTTGTCATGTTTAACATGATTGATTTCTAGTTATTTATCAAGAACTAGACAAGCCGTGTGTTACTTTTATTGAAAGAAACATTGCGAAAAAAAAAGGAGAAGAAAGTATCATATGTAACCTATAGGGCGAAAGTCTCAGCACAAAATATTCACTTATTTTTTTGACTATTAGAAGATAATTTGTTAGAAACAAAATTTTTCTCTAGTTCCAAAGATATGTTCAGATTTTCTTTGTGGGATAACATTGATCAACTATCAATAAATTTTGTACAAAAAACTTCAAAATTATGTTGGTACAAAGTAAAATACCGGTTTTGACGCAGTCCTTAGTTTGTGCCTTGGAACGGCTTCAATTCAACACTATTGAATTCTGTACTAAATGAGATATTACAATAAACGAAATTTTATCTATGGATTTCTACTAAAGAACTAAATAGTTTCTATGGCAATCGGCAATGGTTGAAAAATTGCTGTTTCAAAAACTGCTTATAGAAATACAAAAGTTTTCAAATATCTGATGGTAAAAGTCAATAGTACATTTTGTAGAGTAAACTTTTCTCTGCAACACTGAACCATTGAAAACTGTTTCACATGTTGATTTTGATCGGGTTCAATCAAAATACAAAGTGGATCATAATAGTATCGTTTGCAACCATTATTGTGAAACAATTTGATAATAATTGTCTATTCTTGTTCTAGAAAGAAATTCTGAAAAAAACATATTCGGAAAGAAAGAAAAATTTTGATTCTAGCTAGTTGTCATTTAGAAGCCGAAAAATGAGTGAATATTTTGTCCCAAGACTTTCGCACTATAGAACTTTCTCAACAAATAACTCGAAACCGTATTTCGTGTCATGATGATCTGAAAATCGGAGATTGGTACGATTTTCGTTCAAACATTATTACAAAGTCCCGTTCCTTCTCAAATCGTTCTGAAAAATGACGATTTTTAAGTGAGAATTCTGTTTTCTTTTTCTCGAGATAACGAAAACCAGTTTCAGCAGTAATAGTGATTAGATCGTATGTCGCTAGCATCTCTCGAAGTTTTGGTCATGTCGAAGATCGATAATTGAAATTTAAAACGTTTTTGTTAGTCTCGTATTTTAAACGAAATTTAAATTATTATGATTATACAAGAATATAATTGATTTAATTTACTCTATGATTGATAAAAGTTATTATGCATTGTTAGTGAGCCTACAGTTATTAGCTAGGTGTATCTGATTTCCATCAATTAGACAAAAATCACGTTATAGTTCTTTGTTTTCAAAGACAGTTTAAGAGCGGTTTTTATGTGATTGATTGCTTGTACATTTTTCTCAATTCTATTGAGCTGATTTTTTTTCTATTATTGTCATTAGGAGCATGATCTCAATTCAAAATAATTCCATACAATAATGTTCATTGTTCAATCACCATTCAGAATTTCTGGTGACATGACAATACACTAGACTTCAATTTCGTAGTTAATAGAGCTTCAGAAGTTTTTTAAACCTGATAAATAGTAAACTTGTTCTTTTCGAATATCACATATAATAACCATTGATCCGATATTCTCATGAACAGTTGTTTTATATGATACGATCTATTGGGACTGTCTTAAAGGAATTCCATCATATATATATATATATAGTTAGTTGGCATTACACTTTTCTTGACATCTGTCTTCTATTCTCTGAGTGATAGAGTATCAGAACATATTAAAGATAAAAAAATATCAATGAAAATGAATAAAAACCTGGTCAAGAATTCTCTTGCACTAGCGTATTATAAACTACATGAGTTTTTGATATAATATCTATTCGTCTTCAATTAGCACAAAACTCGGTTTGTGGCGTTTATAATTAAATATTCATTAAACTCATCGTTCTACTTTGTATAATATAGAAACATAGTTTTTTTTACCACATTTCACATTTTGACCAATCCAAAAGTTTTATAATCTCATAGACGATGAGATTAGTTTGGGTCTTGGAGTGAATATACAAAATGAACTAATTTTGAAGCTGGATATAAATTACAACGACATCATCAAATAACCATAGTAAAATATTATAGGCACTATGTCGAATTTTTGAACATGTCAATGATGATAGTTTCATTAAGTTTTTCCTTAAGAAAAAAACAATTCTTAACAACAATAATAAACTTCTATCTCTACTTTCATCAGTTTCATATGACACTGAAGTATCAATTGAGCAGAAAGAATTTATTGAAATAAAAATTCTCCATGAGTTTTCAAATAACAATGCGCACTATTCTGTTTCTATGCACAAATTCATTTACGGCAATATAAGAAGAAGGAGAGAAAAAACTTCCAGAAATTATAAAAAAGAAAGTGAAATGTCACACAGTGTATGAATTTATGTTGCAATAATTTTTTGTATTCGTTCTCTTTGTTCCCATATCAGAGACGACGGCCAGTAAAAAAGAAGTGAAACACTTAAATGAAACGATAAGAACAAAGAATTCGAACGACAAGAACAATCAAAAACAAATAGGAACATTTAGGAAAAAATCTCCACCACACTATATAAATTCAAGTCATTTTATTTTATTTTCTTCATTTATAAAACACAACGTGCACCATGGACAAAAATAAAGAGTCGACAACAACAACTGCTGCTGCGACTGCTGCCATGCCATCTTAACATACGAGCATAAGACCACGATGATCTCCCTATGTTCATATAGTTTAGAACTTTTTGCTCGTCTGGCTCGAAAGCAGCATCGATCCACAAAACAACACGGATTGCAAGCATACTATTTCAAAATTAAAAGAAGTAGTCAACAAGGTCAATACATTCACATATGCCGATGAATGTATCAATTTTATCAGCGACCTCGAACAAGACAAAGTGTTTATGATTGTTTCTGGTAAATTAGGGCAAACTACAGTACCCACTGTACATGACATGCCTCAGATCAGTAAAATTTATATTTTTTGTGGAAACCAAGTTCGACATGAACAATGGGCTAAACAATGGCCCAAAATAAAAGGAGTCTTTACAGATATTGCTTCGATTTGTAAAGCTCTTCAACAAGCAGCACAAGAATGTGATAAAAATCTGATTTCGATCAGTTTTGTCACAACCAGTACTGAAAGTAACAAGCCAAGCCTCAACCAATTGGATTCTTCATTTATGTACACTCAGATAATGAAAGAAATTTTACAAACTATTAATTTCGAGTAACATCATGTCAATGAATTTCTTACGTACTGTCGCGATATTTTCGCCGACAATTCGAAAGAACTTCATCGTATCAATAAACTCGAACAAGAATGCCACAAGTATCTTCCGATTTGGTGGCATACCAACCAATGTTTTCTTTATTTTCAATGCTCAACCGATCATTACGAATGATGGAGATCTTTCTCATCATAAGCATGAAATTTTTCATCCGTGATCTCCACAATCACATCGCCAAGCTTCATGCTCAACAATTTGCTGGACAATCAACTTCGAATTCATTTACTGTTTAGCGTAGTCAAGGACTGTCGAAAAAAGATCTCTGATAAATTGGTTAAAACCAAAGATGGACTTTTATCATTTAATAATTTTCTATCGACTAGTATGTACCGTCAAGTATCTTTCAACTTTGCTCGTGAAACTATGGAAACGTCCAATCTTGTTGGTATTTTATTCGTCATGAAAATTGATCCGTCCATCAGGTCAACATCATTTGCTGATGTTCGTGATGTCAGTTATTTCGAAGGAGAAGAAGAAATTCTCTTCTCCATGCATTCCATTTTTCGTATTGGATCAATGAAACAAATCGATGGAAATAATCGTCGTTGACAAGTTGATTTAACATTGAGTAGTGACAATGATCCAGAACTTCATAGACTAACTGAACAAATATGCAAAGAGACCTATCCTCACGCGAAAGGATGGGATCGTTTGGGTATGTTACTAATTAAACTTGAACATTTCAACAAAGTCCATGAAATATATGATATTCTGCTTGATCAAGCAATGACTGATGAAGAAAAAGCATTTATTTATCACCAGCTTGGATCGGTGAACGAGGATCAAGGTGAATATGCAGATGTCATTGCTTATTATAAACAATTTATTGAAATTAAACAGAAGATTCTCTCACCAATGAATGCCAGTTTGGCTGTTTCTTACAACAACATTGGTTTGGTGTATTCCAAAATAGGTGACTATTCGAAGGCACTTTCATATTATCAATAAGATCTCAAAATCTGCCAAAAACT